TTAAACTTTCTTCTTCTGAGGCACACGCATGAATACACAATTTTCTTCAAAGTTTGTGAAATTTTAGAATATGACACCTGGCATGAAAATTGAATTTTTTAGTTCATATTATCTTTCTATCTGTATTAGTAGCCTTATAAGAATACAGAGGTCTTCCAACGATTTTAAATAATGTTTTTTAATAAGAGAACATCAGTTTTATGACTTCTTGTAAATAAATCGTACCTTTATTGAAGGAAATGAGGAAAAACAAACCATAGAAGTTGTGCAACATCTTTTATCGTGATTTACGAGATGAACCGTATGCAGCTGTAGTAATACACTTGTTATCAAGACAGCTGGTTATTTAATTCATATATAAAGAGAGTCTCCTTTTCACCTTTTAAACCGGTCAATTTTCTGTCGATCAAGTAAAGAGTTTCAACTGGCTAGTTCAATCTAGTCCAAAAAGTAAACTGACTAATTCTTTCGAGTTAAAAAAAGAATTCAATCCGTTTCTAGTCTGATAGCAAACAACAATGAGAATACCACTCATTCTACGTCGTTGTCAATTTTTCACAAAATCACTTTGTTGACTATTGTTCAACAACAAACTATCATAGAAAAAATATTTTTTATTATGAGCAAAACTTCGATCTAATACAATTTTGTTTATGGCTTAAGCATACATTAATTTTTATTGACGATGTTTAAAAACTTTCACAAACAAAAATTCTATCACTTAAAATTTTCTAAAAAGTAAAAGCATTGCCAATGTGATGAGCATCAGTGTCCAAGTTGATTTGGCCGATGTAATACCCATGTTACAGTAATCCCTACGACAGCAGCACACTTCCATCAATTGACCGTTAATATATTTTGTAGAACAGCCGCTTCGACTGCAATCACCTGGATTTGCAGCGCCACGAGTAAAGGGTCCCAAGCCACCGTTATTGGGACTTATTTTCTAAAATAGTAAAATGTTGAAAATTTATTTTAAAAGTAATTATATACTTTCTGTTGAGAAGGAAAAAATACATCCTGCTCAGAAATCATTATTGTATTTATCATAGATGATTCATACTAAAAGCTCTATTGACAGAGAGAGGGTGATGTTAGAGAAAGTCAGTAGTAAACAAAGTATTGGCGCCTGGAATCCATATTCCAAAAACAATCTTCTGTGAAATGAGAAAAACTTATTTTTTTCTTCTTCAGTTCAGGGTTGTATTCCACCAGTATACGTATATCGGTGTTCTCTACCAAGTATTGACAATCGTGTGACTGAGATGAATTTTCAGTACTGAGGTCTAGCATCTACTAACTATCATAGCTAGTTTTTTTGTACCCTTATGAGAACAAAATATGAACTTGTTAGAAATAGGTTCAAGTATTGAAGACATTTCTTCTAACCCATGAATTCTCTTTAATCCAATAAGCACTTTTCACGACTACACTCTTTGATGATTGCTGAAATTCACGCATTTCAACAGATAAAACTAAGCTTCTCCATCAACTGATGTCGTTGAGCAACCCGTATCTTCTGCTAACTTTTAGTAAATTTTTACTAGCATCATCAGAACTTTTCAAATGACTTTCTCGTAACGAGTTGCATAAATCAAGAGCATGGTATGAAAAAGAGTTATGAAGAGTATACATATTTTTTAGCAAGAATGGTTTAATGTGCTTGATTCTGAACAATTATACTGATTATTCTGTCTACTGGACGAAGAGTTATACGTCGAGGAAGTACTCTTCGACTTTTGTTACAGAAAAACTTTGTAATCGTCCTAATTAAACTTGTCATGACTAAGATTGTACAGGATGTGAGTAGGAAGGAGTATGGGGTCTTCTTTCTATCAACACCCACAAACTCTTACGACTGGAATGGCACTCGACAAAGTTGGTAACTCAAGCCGACGAATAGCTTTTCAACAATGTCCAGTCGAAGGACAGAAGAGCGAGGAGTCAACAATGATGTTCCAACGTGTCATAATAGAAATCTTTAAAAGCTTTTAGTTTCTACCTCTTCCTTCAAAAGGTATGAACATTTCAATTTTGCTCCTGTACTGTATAAAATACAGAGTGGAGCACAAGTATTTGGTCTACTTGTATCTCTTTAGAATCATTTATAAAGTTCGTTTTAACTACTTCTTATCATCCCTTTAGATGAAAACCAAAAATTATCTATGGAGCACTACCCGTGTATTTTTTTTTATTTGGTAACAGATAAAATTCCTTTCATGATATCAACCAAAGAATCAGCGAAAGGTTTCATAAAAATTCACAAAACATATATGCAGCGATGAGGTAAATGTTAAGCTAGAAAAGAACTAACGGAATTTAAACTTGGATTTTCGTTAACAGTGTAGCTTTTTAAAGACATTTGAAGACTTAGAATCTACGAAATGCTTTCTTTGCATTATGACAACCCGTAAGCCATAATTCATTATTTGAAATTTAGAAATTGTCTTTAGCATAGGAAATACAATTAAGTTGAATGCAATGTTTCGAAATTTAACGTCTTCATTATGATTTTACTTACCTCACAAAATCCATTATATGATTGAGCAGTCCGTACATTTGGATGGGATCTATAAAACGGTTGAGGACAAGGACGACCTAGATCGCCGCAGTAGTGACAGTAAATGTATGGACGAGTAGTTGTTGTCGGTCTAGCACTAGATCTTGAAGTTGGAAATGGTGGTCTAGTTGTAACGCGTGATGAGCCACTTGAAGATGCTCGCAGGGCATCTTTCAGAATTTCAGCACTACTAGCATAGCCAACGATTAAAAGAACTAACACAAGTACTCGCATTGTCGATCTTTTTGAAGAATTTCTAAAGTGTTGAATATTAGATACAACAAAACACCTGCGTTAATATATACTCTTTCTGTTATTATTTGTCTTGCACAACGCCAGTGACATTAGACTTGTGTCACTAACTGATAAAATGATGATGATTCTTTATCTATTTGTTGATACACCAACACACAGTATCATGAGGCACAACACGAGACTTTGTAACCAAACCTTTGGCATGTTGTTTCAAAATTTTGATAGTAAAAACAGTAATGAATTCGTATTTCATCAATTGATATTTCTATTAGGTGGTTGAGTGCCAGTTAAGAACCGTTGAATGATTGAAATGAATTTAATAATTGACATATTGAAATACTCCATTAAATTTCATATTTTACCCAATATCAATTTTTTTAGAATAATCATTGAGCCGCACCAGAAATCAAAACACTCAGATGTTGTTTGGAATAACTCAAGTGAAATGCAAGATCATGATATGTACTTTTCAGCAATCGATAACAAAATCTCTCAGGCATGCTTTCAGAAAAATTGTAGCTGATTATAAGAAAATAATTATATTTAGTAAAATGATTTATGTTGAATTCGAATATGCTTCGCTTTTTGCAAATAAACATATTGCAAATTCTTGAACGAATAAATCGACACTAGAGTTGAGTTTTATCTTATTTAAAAAACAAAGTTCATAGTTTTGAACAGCTTTACCTTCTGTCTTTTGGTATATAAAAGATAGAAACTTTATGAAGCATAGTAAGTGAGAAAAAATTTGAGATATCATATATGACAGTCAAATACAATCTGAAGATATAATGTGATATCAGAGCTATCAGAATTCATTGCTCCTCAGTTGTTTAATAAACATCTATTTTCTGTCCTTTTCGTTTGAGTAATCGATTCAACATAATGCTTATTCAAATAAATATACTTTAGTTTTTTGATTCTCGTTCTTTTCTTTTTCATCAAACAATTTTTACACTTCGCTTGAAATCATACGTATTCATAACACTCCGAGTCGTGTTTATGAATATATTAAAGATAATAATAGCTGTCTATTTCGAATTTAAATGTCAACAAAGTACGAGACAATAGAAAGGAGCTTCCCTAGGAGACTTCCCATGTGAAAAAAAATTGGAGAAAAATCAGATTAAAATCGATTACAATTTGATTAAAGATCAATTATAATCATACGCCTTTAATCGATTATCAATCGATGTAGAATCGATTATCAATCGATGTAGAATCGATTATAATTAGTCCTAATCGATTTTGATCAGCCATAATCGGTTACAATCACGGAAACAGTTATTCTACTATATTAATCAATTAAAATTGATTAAGACTGATTTTAATCGATTCTACATCGATTAATAATCGATTAAAGATGTATGATTACAATCGATTTTTAATTGATTGAGAATCGATTAAAATTCACAGTAATCATTACAAAACTACCTGCGTTGTTACTACACTACAGTGGCTATATTCTAAAAACTTGTCACTAAAAGATGGTGTGTGAGTGTAAGTCTGGACATAAATGAGCAGAATCTCATGCCCACACCCACATCCTAAAGGCAACCCCGTAGTAGGTTATTGAAAGATGGATAGAAACAGTCGTTCCGCATACCATCACTCATCATCTAAAAATAAAATAAAAAATATAAGTCTTTTAATATCAACATCAGACTTACGTAGTAACTCGAATCGTATATAATCCTAAATAGAAATAAAAGAAGACATTTGTTTTTCAATCTGGAAATCGAACTTACTTTATTCAATCGTTGACGATCTTTAAAAAGTATTAGCTTTTCAGTATCAAAATAAAACTTGCTTTGTAAATTGAACCATGTATGATCTAAACTGGAAAAGGAAGAAATATGAAGTTTTCACTATGAGCACGAGACTTACTTTGTAAAGCAAATCGTTTATTATCTCAAAATGGCAATAAATAAAAGTACTTATTTTTCAATATCAGCATAAGACTTACAGTATAATTCAAATAGTTTATGACCTAAAATAGAAATAAAAAAATGTATTATATTCGCAAATATGAGCCTGAAACTCACTTTGTAAAATGAATCATTCGTGATCTACAATAGAAATAAATGATATATTAGTTTTTCCATGTTGAACATCATACTGATATGGTAAATCGAGTGATATATAATCTGAAAGAGAAATAAAAGAAAGCATTAGTTTTTCAATATGAACATGAGAAGTACTTCTGAAATCAAATTGTATATAATTTGAAACAGAAAGGAAGTATTAGTTTTTCAGGATGAATATGGTACTAACCTTGTAGACCAAATCATTCAACATCTAAGATAGAAAGAGAAGAAAATATTCGTTTTTCAATAAGAAAATGCGACTTACTTATTAGAATCATTGATGATGGTAAAAAAATTAAAGAAAACATCGGTTTTTGGGACTCGACACAGGTCACATGTTGAAATTTTTAAAGTATCCGATCATTTGATATTAAAAGATTCAGTCAAGTTAACACTTCCTTCTTTGCCTACGTGAATTCATTAGTAAAATTCACGTAAAATAACCATTCGAAATATTCTAGATCTACTAGGATTGAGATACGTGTTAATATCTAAAAATAATATCAAAACATCTAGCAGTCGAGATGTTCGGACGGTTTATACGATAGCATTACGAAAACTACGCCCACAGTACAATTGAGGGATCAAAAGCTAGCTGAATTTTAATACACAAAAAGTAAAAGGACATGGTATTCATGATTAGTATTTTTATTGTATACAATGTAAAACTGAACAGTAGTATTCAGCTACTTTGGGAATAAGTAAAGCATGTTCTAGAATCTTCAGTAAAATATATTGTACGCGAGAAATTATGATGAGGGCACAGTAAGATAAAAAAAATCGTAAATATACCTGATTTTGAGTTTATTTCTCGTAAATATAGGTTTATAGCAAACCACATAAGATAAGCATTGTTTACCTTAGTGGTTAGCGATATCTCAACCAATTGAAATTTGATCTCGACACATTTAATTCCAGTTCACGTGAAAAGCACTTGAGCATAAGCGTCATCGTGCTAAATCTTCACGTTAAAGGTTTATATCTTTGATTAGTATCCGATTACAGAATAAAAGTCAGGAAAACTGAAAATACAAGAACATTTCTAGAAATGTGATTCATCAGTTTTTCTCAGAACGATATATACGCACTGCTTAGATACCACGTAAATGACAATAATCTATACATATGTAGGCTCTACTTGAAGCTTTTCATTCGATTTGAGAACCTTCAGTCGTATGATTCTGTTACGAATAAACGAGTTATAATGGGAATCTGGTCCAGAAGCTTCTGCTGCTCTCACTGTTTATAAATTTTAAAAACTAAAAAGGCTATCATAAATCATTATTTCGATGTTACTTATCAAAATTAAACAACAATAAAATATAATTTTGATGCTAATAGTATTTATTGTTTGCTCGCGAACTTTTAACATTATATTTTTCCCATATATATTCAAAACTCAGACCGAAGGATGTAAATATAAAATAACAATACTGCGCTGATATATACATCACGGCTCACAGCTCTTCCTCTTTCCTCTTTCTCCCTGTTATTCTCTGTATCATATATATCTCTCTCTCTCTTTGTTTCTGTGTCATATATAAGCGTGTGCTGATTGTGCTATAGACACGTTCTGGAGATGTAAAGTAGCTAATAAATATCATTATCGAGGATGGCGGTAAGCTACTCCTCCAGTTTGTCATAACATCTCTCTTGTCATTGATCGTTACAAATACTCCAGGAATACGAATGGGTTTCAGATTTTGAAAAAAACTGATATACAGAAAGGATAATCCGTAATTAAATACATTGTACTAAATAAGTGAGTAGACTTCAGTTAACTATAAATCTCTAACATATTGTACGAATGAAATCTATTGCTATTCGGCACTAATGAGAAGTTATCAGGAATTCTCTTTTGTATGGTTGAAAAAAGCATCGCATGCTCCTTTATGAATGATGAAAGGCTTAAACTTCAATAAATTTTATGTAAACCAATCACTCAAACGTAATTTTAAGGGAGTTCAATGTTTAGTATAAAAAAGTTGAATTTGATATTAAGTGTAAAGCGATAAAACTAAACTAAATTTTAAGTTAAGTTAAGTGGTGCATCGTTACCAATGATTATAATCGATTCGAAAAACTAACCGATTACGGTGGATTATAATCAACATGATTTGATTTAAGGCGATTCTTATCCTAGTAATTATAATCAATTCAAAAATCTAATCGATTGCGGTAGATTATAGTCAACATGACTTGATTTGAGGCGATTCTTATCCCCGTAATTATAATCGATTCGATAATCTAGCCGATTTCCATGGATTATAATCAGTATACCTTGATTCTAGACAATTCTTATTCCAGTAGTTATAATCGATTCGAAAACTTAGGTGATTGCGGTGGATTAAAAATCAATATTACTTTATTTAAATCGAAAAAAAATCATCAACTATCGATGAAAATTGATTACTGCTGAAAATTGGTTTTAATTGATTAATAAAAAATCAAAAACAATCGATTATACTCGTTGTAAATCGATTTTAATCGATTCCAATGAAGAAAACGATTCTAATCGGTTAAAAACTAATGACTCGGAATCAGTTATGCAAAAAAACCGATTATAATCTTTCATTTAATCAGAAAATATCAAAATCACTTGATTTTCATCAATTAATTACTGCTGAAATCGATTAAAATCATACATCTGCTGATTTTTCGGCTTATTTTTTTTACATGGGTTGAGTCCAATAACTTGTTTATTTTCCGTAACAACTATTAAACAATAGAAGTTTCATCTCTTCGCATAAACATATACTTATATCTATGAAGATAGTGAACTTACTTCGTGGCCTATTCCCTGTGAAAAATAAATACCTCGTAAAAGTTACTCAGCTTCATGATCTGTAATCTTCATAAATGTTAGTGATAGGTTAAATTTTGATATAAAGAGAACAACTACAAGATCGATCAAAAACAGCGAGAATGAAGAGCAAGTTAAGTTTCTATTATGTTTATAGCACAGGAGCTACTTTACAACATTACACTCAAGACCTTTTGATTTACAGATGGCCACTATATCGGTAACACAAAAAATTCGAGTGAAGGCAACAAAACTACTCTTGATAACATGGTTATGCATTTAAAAACTGATCGGTTGTCAGTTTCTGTTTGCTACAATGCTGGATCAAATTACAACGATCAATAAATGACAGTGTAAGTATAAAAGCCAGAATGACACTATATTCAGCATATTACACATCATGAAGTGATCAACATCTGATATTTCTTCAATTACTTGTACCATCTCAATACGAAATATCTTATGTTACTTATCTTCTCGAATGAATGTCGATGAATTGACTATTCTTTCTGTCATTTTAGATAATGACTTTCAATTAAAAATTTCTGTTGAAGAAATTTGGTTCTTGAAAGTTTCGGTTTCTTGTATATTTAGATAATGCACAATTATGATAGCATCTAAAATTTCAGACGTATTGTGTGTATACTATTTTATAGAGAATGAAACAATAACTTCTGCGTCTATCGTTATTTATTAAAAAAGTACAAAAAACTCTGGGGTAGAATCACTTATTTCCCGATGGTGTTTTTCAAACGTACATGGAAGTAGTGATTCAGCGTAATGGTCGTTGGAAACCAACAATTTTTAAAAGATCTCTTATCAATCTAGTACTACTCGTCTTTTTTCATTTAGATTCAAAGGATTGACTAAGCAGTAATAGATAAACTAAATCTAGCAAAACCTAAAAGAACTTCAATGGAATTTTTCATAGAATGCCCTTATTTAGAGAACTTATGTTCGTGAAATCTTCCAAAAAAAGTTCTTTGGAAAATAAATGATAAGTCGAAGTCAATTATCATTTATATATCTACTCTCGTGAACAAATAATGTGTACTTGAACGAGTGAGTAATTAATATTTCAAAGTCTGAAATGATAATATCTGGAGATACTACAAATATACGTAATTAGTCAGTGTCTCTTCCTCGTGAATGTACCTATCTGACTGATATATGTGTGTCACAAAATGCTGCTCTATCGTTTCAAAAAAGGACTAGCAAATCGGTAAATACGTAGAATGCTGAAAGAAAACAATCGTTTCGTTGTCATCCTACAATATCATATTCATGAATAATGATTAAGCTTAATTTATAACGAATCAACATATTAGATTATTGATATGCAACGGACGAAAGCATGCGAGTTCAAACATAGCTCATGCACGTAAAACTGCGTGACGATCGTTTGGTTAAAGTGAACACAATTCGATTATTTAAAAGATATTTTTAACACGTATGCTAAAGTGTCATTTTTCAATTTCATGATGTTATCCTATTATACAGCTTTATAAAGATAACAATTCATAATCGATACAAATATCACATGACTACAAAGAAATAGAATAATTTATATTTATTTTCTGTGAACAGGAGAATGCCATCGGTACTATTACGTTTCATTCGACTTATATGCAATGAACTTTTTGTTTTATAAAAAAGAAAACGAAAATTCACTTTATAATGTTGATTATTCTTTTTGTAGTCATCATCGATTGTTGCACTAGTAACCAGCCAAATTGTCATAAAACAACAAAATGGTCAACAAACGGAATCGTTACCCATTATTATTATGAGTGAATCTGGCAGGAATTCCCAACATCTGAATTTTCCATTAAGTATTTTCGTCGATACTCATGGAAGTCTTACAGTCACTGGAGACCATGGCAGACTGTCTGAGCCAAATCAATTAAATTTTCCTACTGATCTATAAATAGACAAAAATGAACATATCCATATTGCCGATACCGATAATCCACGGATTCAAATGTAAGCGAAAGGTACAAAAAGCGAAGAATCAAAACGAATCATTTTTTTCTATGGTATCTGCTTCTACCAGAAGACGGATAAGTTTTACGTACCAGACTTTTTTTTCCATGAACGTGTAATAAAATTCAAAATAGGTAGATGAATCTATTTCGAAAACCTTATCATGTCTAACTAATGTTTTCCTAGATGAATGTGGAAAACTTGACATCGCTGACGCAGGAAACAGCCGTGTACAAAAACCTCCTGAAAGGAGCCACCGAAGGCATCACAGTTACTGGTAGCTATGGGCTAGAATCGAATGCTAGTCAATTTAGTTAACTGTGAACTATCAAACTCGACAAATACAACAATATGTATATTGTCGATACGTTTAACAAGCGTCGAACAACAATGTTGGAGTGACGATTTTTGATTGAAATGGCTTTGGCAATCAACTGAATCAATTATATTACTCTCATAGTTTAGTACTCACTAGTGAGGGAAATGTTTTTGTCAGTGATCTTGGAAACCATCGAATTCAAATATTTAACATGTAGCCAAAATCGAAAAGTTGTTGATCCAATGTGCTCTCAAAATACAAGTCAAAATTTGGCACGATACATTTCTTAATTTTTCAATTTGATCATTTGTCTGAATGGGTAAGAACATCTTAGTGATGAGAATAGGACGACAGGCAACTATTATCAACAGTTGTATAATATGTATAATCTTGCACTTGTAGTATCATTAACATATTATGATAGGGACAAATTTCTTGTTACTTTAGTTTAATTCCAACTATGTTTCGAACATAATACTATTTTTGTTTGAAAGATTCATTGCATTTTTGCATCAAGAGTCCGCCACTATCCTTATCATAATTATTGCAAGCGCCCAGGTCTTAACCAAATGCAGAGATAACAGTGGTTATCAAGCAAAGATCAACAAAAAATAATAAGAAGAACACAAGTGTAAATATCAGTACAGATTTTCTCTGCATTTAAACGTGTTTGTCTTCTAAAAATGTATCTGGGAAAATTAGTTATTCTCATTCTACACATTATTACCTGTATTAATCAGTATGAATCCACTCCACTCGATGACTATGTGAACGCACCTGATCCACATTTTGGTTGGACTGTTATCAAGACATATGAAGAACCTGATTATACATTGTACATTGTCAATTTTACTTCACAAAAATGGATTGATGGTAAATTTTGTTTTGAAATAAAACAACTTGATTTTTCTGTACAGTTTCATATTTTTAATTTTTAAGAAACATTTTCTACTCGATCAATCTGGTGGCATTATTTGTGTATCAATGTTCCAAATCATCTGACCCGTTCGAAAACAGCATTTATGTTGATCGATGGTGGTTCTAATACAGACGGGTTTGGAATAAAATTTTCATTGAGAAAATTAGCATAAGGAATATTGTTATAGTATGCCACAACCAAACGATGAATCTGTTGCTTTAATGTCGATGTTGGCTGTGAGTACTGGAAGTATTACTTTCAATGTTCAGGACATTCCCAATGTACCTATTCAATTTATGGCAAGTTTTCGTTTGATTCATTGACAAGAGCAATCGTTTATTTTTATGTCTCCACTAGAATGATCCAACAAATCAGACTCGTAATGATAATGCTGCACTCGCTTGGACTTGGAAAGCATTTATCGATAATGCATCGAATCCGGCAGTATTGATGCATTTGCCAATGACAAAAGTATTAGAATATAGTTTTTTTGCCTTTGAGAAGAAAGGATGAGTGTCTATTTTTAGTGATTACGTGGGTATTTATAAGCCTATGACCTAGTCATATTTTCTACTTACTAATAGTATATATAATAAGATCGTCGGTTACCAAAACTTTCCGCAGATTCCTGTGTTTAGAATCAACTTAAGAAATGCTGTCTATCAATGTATGTTTCGAACTTTTTCTGAATGACTTTTGTTTCTAATAAAAGTTCGTACAATATAGATAGATATCATTTATGATGATATGGTTCCAAGTATAGTACGTATTCTTAACTGGAGGAAATGAATGATTTTATTTTGGGAGAAAATGCATGGCCTTCAAAGTCTTTTGAAATGATGTAAAATTCAGAGTGAATATATACTAATTCAGTGCATATGACAATATGTAATGGATACTAATACCGTCATTTCATTTTAATTATCAAGTATTTTGATAAGGAGTTGTTTAATTCATTTTGTCAGGAATTAGTAAGTCCAAATATGACTAGATCATAAGCTTCTGGGTACCCACAAAAGTCTTATAAAATGAATAAGGTAAATACACGGTGTAGATTCTGTCATTTTTTTTTCGTTGCCATATAAGTAGATCAGTGCTGCTCCATAGTAAATTTATTATAGGCTTCGATTCGTGCGATGGATGCAGTGCAACAATTTACAGCTCAATCGGGTATTCATGTGCCTGAGACATTCGTTATCAGTGGTGCTTCGAAAGTAACTTTGTTTTTTTTTACATGAATTTCAATTAATTCTTTGTGGTATTGATAGCGCGGATGGACAAGTGAGTAATAGTGTGAATCTAGAATTCTTTTCATATGATTTATTCATTCTACAATTGTCAGCATGGACATCGGCTGCTGTTGATAGTAAACGAATTATCGGTGCAGTACCTATTGTTATGGATTTAGTGAACCTTCAAATTGTAAGCAGCAACTAGATCTTATTTTTCACTATCAATAAATCTCTTTCCTATAGAATTTTCATCATCTTTATCGAGTGAGTAACAATTGATAAGAGAAAACGATTTGTATTGTGAATGTATGCAGTCTTTGAACGGTTGGACATTTGCACTTAAAGATTTTTATGCGTTGAATATATTTCGGTCTCTTGATACTAATAATTTTACTCGAATGGCAGAAATCATCGATCCATATAGTAATTAATCAAATCTATAATTACACATATTTTAAATCATTTTGTTAATTTAGATTATTTTAATCGATATAAAACAATCAAAACTTTACAAATTCAAACAACAGGCGATGAATTCTTTCTTCTTGACAATGAGATATGTCGATTGTCATAATACAGAAAAACATCCATAGTTGTCTTTCTTGTTATTTTCTAGGATGTTTTTTGGAGAGATCTTCAACGCGCTACTGGTGGTACATATCTCAGGTAGAAATTATTTTTCGATATGGAGAAAAGAATAGAGAATTTTCTAGACGAATACCAAATGCCGAACATCAGTGTATTGGCCATTTGATCAGTATTCTTTTAACTATGCGAAGTTTTTATTTGAGTATTTATGAGGTAATCATGTAGAGTATTCATGATCAAAACTATTCGATTGATGTTTTCGTTTCGAGAATCAATCACTACCTTCCTTAACATGGATAAAATCATCAAATAATACTCATGGATATATTCGTGCCATTGTCGACTTTAGCATGGGACCAAAACCAATCAGTGCTATTGGATATCGAGCTCGAACACTTGATGATAAACGGTATTCAGACTATTAAATCGATTTTCTTTTAGTTAGATTTATATTTACATTAAAATAGACGTGATTTCCGATTATTTATTGCAAATCCAAGTGACCCCGTTAAGCCAATGGCTAATCCAGTCTTATGGTTCACCACTCCACTTGTGATAGAAGTATAAATTATATTAGATCACCATAGATGATTGATTTATATTTAATATTATTTTAGTCACAGACCAATACAACAATTATTTATTCGTTGACAATCGAAAATCCTCTAGATGGTTGGGAAGGTTTTTTCATTCAAGTAAATTTTCCTGGTCCGGATGGTTCAGTACTTGAGTTAACAAGTGAAACACAAGTTATTCCGGATACGTACCCAACTGGTGATTGTCACAATGAAGGTTGTGCTGGTACACTAGTCTAAGACATATGTAGTTCCTTTTTTTTCTGAAATTTATTATGCAAATGGATGAATAATTTGTCATTAACATAGATAGAAAACTCTTTCTTCTTATATTGTGTGCGTGTGAGAAATATTACTTGACAATAAAGATAAAACTTTTGTAGATTCATTATGTCTAATGCTACATCGATAATTAACTACTTTCGATTATCTGAACAATATTGAAATATCTGTAATTACGAACAAAAGCATATAGGTCAATAAAATCATCAATTCATAGACTCTTTGATATCACATAGTAATAAAAACGTGATTGAATTTTCTCTTTATAGACATATCGACGTTATCATCAAGTGGTTATTTAATTACTTTCTATTTTTTTTAATTATTTATACATAGATATACAACGGAATTAATAGGATGTCTTC